GATAGATAGATAGATAGATAGATAGATAGATAGATAGATAGATAGATAGATAGAGATAGCGAGATAGCACCTCCTGTGGGCACGGTCATGCTGCAATCCGTTCTTTATTTCTCCCTCCTTTCCAGATTTTTGGGCATATGTGCACATGCACCTGGTGTATTTCTCAAGCCACCAGATCCAAGACTCTAACACTGCAGTCAGCCATGTGGGACCTAGCTGCCTTAACCCTCACAACACAGGCTGGCCTGGTGGGTGGTTTTTTTTTTTTTTTTTTTTTTTGTAAAAGAGAGACTTTTACTATAGAGCACATGTGCTTGTCAGAGAGACAGAGAGACAAAGTGAGAAATCATTCCCTGGGGAGGATGGCCACACTGTAATCCCTTCTCCATCCCCCTCTTGGGATCTGGGGCACTCACACACACACACATGCCTAGCGTGTTTTTTGTTTTTTGTTTTTCCATTTTATTTTAAACATTCGATTGCTATATATCATTTGGCATGCAAAGAGAATGTACCCAACATGAGAAACGACGTGTTTGAAGCTGCCAGGTTCAGAACTTGAACCACAGTCGACTACATGGGAGTCTAGTGATGTCGCCATTATGCCACTTGCAGGAATTTTTTTTTTTTTTGAGAGGTTTTTCGCTATAGGGTGCGTGCGCTCGCCAGACAGACAGAGAGAGACATAGAGACAGAAAGTGAGAAATCACCCCCGGGGGGGATGGTCACGCTGCAATCCCTTCTCCTCCATTCTCCACTCAGGATCTTGGGCACGCACGCACATGTGCCCGGCGTGAGTTTTAAGCCACCGGGTCTGGAACACGAACCGTAGTCAACTACATGGGAGTCCAGGGACATAGTCATTATGCTAACTGCTGGTTCCCGGCCTGCAGGAATTTTTATAGGTGGTTCAACCCAGAGCATCACGGTGCCTGCCTTGTGCACTTCCCAGCATTTCAGATAGTCTCTAGGGGTTTCCTTAAGGCTTGCAGTCTGTCAAAGCAGAACCCTCTTTCAGCTGATTAAAAACAAACTCTAAATCCAGCATCCGCTGTCTGTTTCATGGATGAGATAATCATAGGAAAATGCAATAAACAGTCCTGGGGGCGTAGCCTTCCCTCCAGTCTTTCACCTTCCGGTCTGCAGACAGGAACTCACCTAAATGACCCCAGAATGACTGAAATTTGTGTATGTATATTTTTCATTAAGATTTTAATTCAGCACTATCAGGCCGGCAGGTGGTGTGGTGTGGTTAAGGTGTTGGACTCCCACATGACCAATTGAGGCTCAAGTCCTAGACCTGGTGGCTTGCTTTCTCACTTTCCCTTTCTCTCCATCTCTCTCTGGTCAAATTAAAATAATAATAATAAAAATCTTTTTTAAAAAATAGCCATCACTATCAAGAAAGTCATTCTTGGGACCAGCAGTTAGCATATTGGCTATTTCACTGGACTCCCATGTAGTCAACTGCAGTTTGAGTCCTGGACCCAGTGGCTTAAACTCATGCCGGGCACATGTGTGTGCATGCCCAAGATCCTGAGAGGAGGATGAATGAGAAGAATTACAGCATGGTCATCCCCCCTGGGGGGTGATTTCTCACTTTCTGTCTCTGTCTCTGTCTTTCTGGTGAGTGCATGCACCCTATATAAAAAAAAACTCAAAAAATAATTTTCGATATCCTAAATTTTCCTGGTGTTTTATTCCTTTCTTCACTCATTTTCTGAAAGAACAGAAGCTGTTCACTGCAACTTGAGTAGGAAACTTTCATGCCTATAAAAACTAGCAGGTTCCCTCTGCATGTTCTTTCTCATGCTATGAGTATTCAGAGGACCAGGAATTTCACTGCCTTCTGCAAACCACAGGAAGACTCATTTTAAGGCAGCTGGAGGGGAGCTTCTGGGATTTCTCAAATTACAGCCATCATAAAAATTGCTTCTCTTGTTTATCATTTGCTGATCCACTGATTAGCTCAGGTCCTCTGGGTAGGGAGATGACAGCTAGTTTCTAATAATGATCTGAATATCACATGATTCCACATATTTGTGTGCATACCATATTCAAAGAGTTAATGTTGAAGAGTTTGAAGATGATTACTGATGGTTTCAAAGCCGATCTAGTATTTTATTCTGGTCACGGAGTATATAAACTAGTATCTGTTAACATCTGGGTATCATCAAAGTGCCAGGCACCAATCCAAGCTCTTTGTCACAACTCGTGAAGGTGGGCACTAATAACAGACCCCCTTTATAGAGGAGAAAACTGAGGCCCAGAGACTGTAAGCACTTTGCCAACGTTAATGCATTTAAGAACGCTTGCCTAACAACCCTCATAAGACACACAGCCCAGGAGGGCCATTCAGCCTTGGCCTCACAAGAAGGCTTTAAATTTAGATACTTTGGCATCGTCTCCACATGAGGTTATGCAGACCGTCACAGAGATACTCTACAGAATGGGAAGAAGTCTGTCATCCAACTTGTCACACTGTACCCAGTGCTCTATGGATGGATGGGTGTATACGTGTGCGTGTATACACAAACACAATCTCCTCAGCTTGGCTGGCAAAGGACATAATTCTATTAAATCTCACTTTGGTATATGTTCAAGTTTTCAATTAGGTAGATGTATGTAAAATATGCCATAGAGTTAGTGGTGTTTTAGTGGGGCTTCATTTTGCAATTCAGAGTCTCAAAAATGAAACAGACCTGACCACATCTTGCCAGTGCCCCTCCATAGACTAGAACCATAAGATGGTGAGGGGGCACTTAGAGACTCTCTGGTCCAACTTCATTTTGCGTGTGAAGAAATAGAGACACAGATGTTGAGGACCATCCCCAAAGTCACACAGCTCAGTGCCCTTGTCCTGAAAGACTTCCGGGTTCAGTCTGCACATGCTGCTGCCGGTATCTGTCTCAGCCCTCCAAGCAGGAGTGAGGAGAGGAGAGGGCGCACGTGGGAGCACGTTGACGATCATAGCATTTACTATAAGGCCATTAATTCCTCCCAGTGCAACCTCTCCTCAAGTATGTGTGGAAAACTCTCATATTTGTTTCTATCACCTATTCATCCATCCATCCAGAGAGAGTGAGAAGTCAAGCCACCAGGTCCAGGGCTTGAACTGTGGTCAGCCAGATGGGAGTCTAGCGCCTTAACCACCACACCACCTGCCAGCCTCAAAAAATTACATCTCTATGGATGTTATTACAATTCAGACTCCGGGAGCTGTGCGTCAATATTGAACCTAATAGCCACCCTGGGAGGGGGGTATACAGGTTTTGCTATTTGTTTTTCCAAAGAGAAAACAACAATCAGGAAACATTCCCTGCCTTTCCCAGGGAACCACAGCAGGACTGATACTGTAACGCAGGACCCCCGGCTCAGCACAGCAGTCCACTCTGCACAGGGAACCACGCTGCTTTCCCGTGTGCAACTTGTCTCACAGGAATCCCGGACGAGAACAGCACGAGTGATGTGTTCTCAGGATGCCGGGTATCCATAAGCCATTCTCAAATCCAGTGTATTCGTTCCCCCCGAAAGAAATGATTCTTCCTGAGATAAGTAATGTGTAGAAAAAAATAACTAGATCTTCTAAAACAATATGCATGTAGTAAAAACTATTTCAGGATAGCTATTATGAATTTCCAGTGTTGCTAAGGTATTTCCTTTTCAGAGGCAAGGTTATAAGATATATTTAAATAAAGCTTAGTCTAGGAAAGTAACACTGTAGTAAAAAATGCAGCCTTTATAGGCTTGTAATTCTTTGTCCAAAGCCCTTTTACAGAAGAGGCTATTTTAATCCAATAAATAAAAGATGAGCGCTTCCAGTTCTCCTACCGGCGTAGCCACCACTTGAGATTACCACACACACACACACACACACACACACACAGAAAATACACAAACAGTGTTTGATCCTGCCTTGCTGCAGGGTGTTTTCGTCTTTCAGGAGACCAAGGGAAAAACAACCTCAGAACTCTACCACCAAAACTTCCAAATTTATTGCAACACAACGTAATGGCAAAAAAAAAAAAAAAAAACCAAACCCAACCAAACAAACAAAAAAAACCTATTTTCTTAGCACACATGGTTTTGAACAACCACCATAGCCAAGAATGCCTGGTTTTATTTTTACAATAAAGCCACAGAAAATCTTGAATTGCACTCTGTGTTCGGGGATGGCAAAGATGCTGTGGGTTGTTTGGAGCAAAGTATCGTGACTAATTACTCCATTTTATCCTCCCTGTTTAACCTGCGCTTAAGGCATTTAGTTCGTGTTTATACTGGCTTGACACAAATCATGCTTGAGAGAGATTTCGTGTCCTGTTTCCCTGTGCAAAGTTGAGCTACAGTGGTAGACTTAACAATGCCAGCCCCTTCTTGGGCTTATCAGTAACCAGAGCATTCAGACTCAGAAAACACTTCCAGAGTAAACAAGACGTGGAATTACGCATCTAGCCACATTCCACCGAGATCTGCCTGAACCGAAAGAAGGCTAGGTCCACGCTAAATAATCTTTAAATTTAGCATCAATGTGTCCAGAGCTCATACTGCTATTGAATTAAACAATGTGCTATATTGCTTTTGTGTTCTATCATTATAAGCAAAAGCCGTGTTGTTATCGTATTCCGTACCGGAAGCCAAGTTTAAAGAAAGGCAAGATCCTTAATTACTTTATAATTCTACACAAATGTCATACTCTTTAACATAATCAAGTTGAATTAAACAGTGAAAATTCAGTTCTAATATTAATAGCTTAGCACAACTTAGTATAATTGCATAGATACATACATATAATATTGTTTTATAGACATGTATAAAATTGTTTCTAAGGAGGCCAATTACCACCCCAGCCCCATCCCAACTCTTAAAACTGGAATGTGCACAGACAGATTACATGGCCACAATATGCATTGTAGTTTCTTCATGACAAATACATGTTAACCCTTTAAAATATTGAGTGGGGAAGCCACTAGATACAAAGCTTAGTAATTCATCAGACATACCTTGTTGGAATGAGGCAATTTTTTTTTTTCAAAAATTTTCCACCACACAGAAAGGATATCCTTTTTCCCTTAAGTTTTTCTGCATCACAAATCCCTTCCAAATTATTCCAAAGAAGAAGCAAGCAGTCCAAGCACCTTTCTCTTCTCAGAGGAGCTGATCAAACATTCCCATCCACCTCTCAACACTTTGAAAAGCACATTTTACACCACACACACACACACACACACACACACACACACACACGCTGCTCCTCACACTGGTTTTAGTGCTGAATTAGGCGGTCCTCTTTCAAATTTCCACTCCCACTTGTTTTTTTGGGGGTAAGGATTTTTAAATATTCTTTTCTAGCCCAAAGTACACATTTTCAGTAAGCAAATCCTAAATTAGGTATTTAAAAAAGTAGACGAGGAACACTTAGATGATGAAGCAAAAAGTGAAAAATACGTTTTAAAAACTACTTAGAGACAATGATATATCATTCGTTTTCAACTGCTAAGCGAACGTCTGGCTTCAGCTGCCTAAAGAAAGAAAACTGAACACCACCAAGCTTATCTCACTGGACACTCACTTTTGGATCGAAAATCCTTATTTTTCCTACACGTAAATGCCATTTCTTTGCTTTGTTTTGCTTCAGTCTTTTCTGCACATTGGCAAGCTTCATGAAATGACCGTAGTAAATGCTGCTAGTAACAGGACACAAGATAATAATAGTGGAAAGCAAAACTTGACTCATGTTTCAGAAAAACTGCTGATGCATAGCTCGCATCAGAGGTGAAATCTGCCGGGTTTTGTAATTTACAAATTAGTGTCATCAATTAAACCTCAGGTATTCAGACCCAAAACGTGCAGTAACACATCACAACATTTTAGAAAAACAGACCAGGAGGAAGCACATCTGGCCGTCCTTGAGACTGCAGAGTCTGTCGGTGTGGTGAAGTCGCCCTCTTCCAACGGGGCAGACAGAGCAAAGAACCATTTCTCCTCCTGCTGGGGACTGTGCACTCCCGCAGCCCGCAGGAGGATTTTCTTCCATTTGAGCAGCACAGGAGGATCTTCTTCCTCATCTGCAGGTCCTGGGATGGCTCCTTAGGTTAATTATAGTTTGAATAGTATTTCGTCTTTTTTTCTCCTCTACTTCTTTGGGTTCTTCATTGAAATGATTTCTCAGTCCTGTTCCTTCCTCCATGAAATCCTGAGTGTAGGTCCATTGGTGGTAAGGATGGTACGGCCCCATGGAGAGTCAACTGCCCCACCATTGGAGTGAGGGCAGGTTCTGATGAGAAGGTGACATAATGAATCGTTGCTTCGCTATTCATGAGTGACCACGGCGCCAATACCCGTGTACCAAGCACTGCTGGCCGTGGTCATGAGCCCTATTCATATAGCATCTCATTTAACACCTGGAAGAAAGCCAACGGGTCAGTACTAGTCTCTCTGTTCTAAGGTAAGAAAACGAGGGCTCAGAGAGATGAACTTTCCCAGGGTAATTCAGTCAGGAAGGCAAGATTTGAGATTGAAATCCAAGGCTGCCTGACTCCTAAGCAGTGGTACTCTTAGGACAGAGACCTGCTTTTACTACTTTAATTTTTTTTAATGAAAATATGGCAAAGTCAAATGTGAATTTATTGAGAGATATTCAAAGATGATTCGAATGAAAAAGCCTCATGGCCCAGCTGCGATGGCGTGGCGCAGGCAATCGGATGGTGCTGTGAGCTACTGAAGCCACATGGGAGGCGTGCTTCCAGATCCCAGGGCAAGCTGAGTACTCTGGGTGTGCCTGTGGGTGACCAGGGTCCTAGCTGGCTGGGCGGCTGGGGAAGGGTTGTGATGTGGGACAGACTCTCAAGTGTATATATCTGTCTCTCTCTCTCTCTCAAATAAAATAAAATAAAATAAAATAAAATAAAATAAAATAAACTTAAACAATGATGGGGCCAGCTGGTAGTGTGGAGGGTAAGGCATCAGATCTTATATGGTCGACTGTGCAGGTCAGTCCTGCATCCAATAGCTTGAAAAACATGTTTGTCTTTTATGTGGGTGTGCCCAAAATCCTAAGAGGAGATTGGAGAAGGGATTGCAGCATGGTCATCCCACCTGGGAGTGCTTTCTCTCTCTCTCTCTCTGTCTCTGGTGCCTTATAGCACAAAACTAAAAAACAAACAAACAAAAAACCCACGATGTTTGGGATGGTAAAAATTTTGGAAATGGAGAATAGTGGTGTTTTATTCATAAATGCAACTAATGCTATCAAATTGTACACTTAAAAGTAATGATGGCAGGTCCGGCAGGTGGTGTAGTGGTGAAGGGTGCTGGACTCCCATATGGCTGACTGTGGTTTGAGTCCTGGACCCGGTCGCTTGCTTTCTCACTTTCTATCTCTCTCTCCCATTCTCTGGTCAAATTAAAATAAATGAATAAATAAAATAATTCTTTTTAAAAGAAGTAAAAGCAAATTTTATGCCATATATTGGGTCGTTGGAAACACACGACACATTTTTGCATAGAAAAAACATCATGACTTTTCGGACGACACAGTATTTTTACCACAATAAAAAAAACCCCCAAAACAGTGAAATAATCATTTTGTTATCTTTCTCATACTGGCAAAACAAAACAAAACAAAATCTGGGTGAAGCCTATGGCGGACATGGATGGCCCTCATGGGCTGCTAGTGGTGTGGACCAATATGGCTATTCCAGAGAGAAATCTGAAGCACACCTCATACTTGGTTGAGTTGTGTATGTGCCCTAAACCCCATCAAACTCTTTCTGGGTATGACCTATTTTTTAAAGTTTATTTATTTCATTAGCATGACAAAGGATCCCGAATAGGGTCCTCATATGTATGATACACCCTCCAACCTAAAGGCACAGATCACAGGCACACATTTATGTAATGTGGACAAGAAGGCCCTGGGATGCAAACCCGGGACCTTCCCGTGGAGTCCACTTGCATTACTGTTGTGCCACTTTCTAGCCCCTTCTAGGCTACGTTCTTCAGTGAGCTTCTCCACAGGGCCCTGAGCAGTCCATCTCTGGGGAATTCAGGAGTTCAGTATGGGAGGCGCGTGGCAGGGCCCACTGGTCGTGGTGGGAGGAAAGGACTAGAGTCTTGCTGCTTGCTGTCCCCGAGGGCATCTCTTGGGGTCTGCGTGGCTCACTTGCTCACTTTCCTAAAACGTTTGCTCAAACGTCACTTCATGAGTGAGCCCTTTTTCTGGCCATCTCATTGAAAATGGCACCCTCGCCCGGAGCGTTTCCTCCTCTTCTTTGCCTTTTTGTTTTTCTACAGTACTAATCACTCTTTAATTATCACTCTATAATGATATTTACTACTAGATCTTTTTACCAAACATTCCCCATTAGAATATTAACTCCAGGGAGGCAGAGGTTTTGTTTGTTTCTTTCGCTGTTGCATTTCTGGCCTCGGAACCAGCATACAATAGGCTTACGGCAATTATTAACTAGATGGGTGCTTGAAAATATATTAGAATGGATTCAGTATAAAAAAATAAAGGGGAAAAGGTGGAAATAAAATGACAATGCATAAGAATGGCTGCCTCTGAAGAAAGGCAATGGGAGTGGAGAATTAGGATGAAATGGAATAACAAACTTTAAAGCAAAATCCTAGAAGCTCTGTGGGCCAGCAACAATGATGCTGGGCCCCGGGTCAGCCCACCTCACTTGGCTGTCTGGCTGCGACAAAGCCTACAACCAAATCAATCAAGTTGGAGGCCTTGGGGAATCCTTTACCTTTCTGAAGTAAAACATGATCACAACTTCTCTGAATAGCCTTGAGGTTGCTACTTGGCGTGAACTGAACTAGATTATGTCAAGTTGAGAACAAAAACTGTGATGTTCAGTTTTTTCCTATTGCTACTCGACATTCTGTTTTGCTTATAAATTACTTGTGGTTGCTTGAAAGCATCAGTCCATTCCTAAACGAGTGCTTCTCACTACATAAACTTAGTACCCTAGTCCTGTTTTCATAACGAGTACAAGAACTCACATGTCTTTCAGAACATTTTCTATTAAAAGTTTTTATTATTGTCGTAAACATTGCACCCGATGGCTCTTTAAAATACTGCTCCTCTCATTTTTTTTTTCACTCCTGAGACAGAATGCTAGAAAATCAATGCATTCTTCATATCACAAATCCATTTTTTTTATGTGACTTTTGAAAATTCAGGATGGCCATTTAGGCGTCTCAGTAATAAGACAGACGTTCAGACGCTCCTGAACTTTCACTGTGTCGCAGATATAAAACAGAAGGCTTACATCTTTCATAACACGAGCTCACTGAAATGTTTAAGGGTACATCGTGTTTGATGCTACATCAATTTTTCATAGAAATATGATTTGGCTTGAACTCCCTACGACAGTTTTGAGACTCTTTTTCTCCCTGTACTTTGGTGGAAACTCACAGCAACCACCAGGTGCTATTTCAGGTTCTTGTGCATTGCCGAATGCTACTGCCACGTACTCCTGTGTTGTGTTGCGTCATGTGAGCAAAAAGTGTGCCAACAAAATGAGCTTTCGTTAAATTTACATCATGACTATCTGTCAGAAGCAGAGTGGTTATTACTAGAAGGCTGTATCTTTCCAAAAATGGAAAGAGCCAAATGAGGAACATGGACAGCTTACAGAGTTCATGTGGCCAAGAGAGATTTGTTAAACATTGTATGAACCTCTAAAACTAGGGAAAAGTGGATATATTGGAGGGGAAAATTGATAGGAGTCATTAATTGATGCCAAAGGTAAACTTAGCGGATGAAAGAAAATGGTGGACCAGTAGAATTCATCATTCTCAGGCTATTAGAGCAAACGGATGTTGATCGCTACATTCAAATGCTTTGAAACAAATGAGAACCACTGTCTCAAGGACCAGACAGCACCCACAGTGTTCTAGGGCAAACTGACCAAAAATGCATGCAGATAAGTCACTGTGATTGTAAGAGCATGAAAGATGAAAAGACAAAAAATGACACTGGGAAGTGGAATCTATCCCATAAAGCCCACCATTGCAAAAGGCTCCTGGTCCGGGAGATTAGCAAGCTACAAAAGTACCTTATACAAAACAAGGGTTCCAAATGGTGGGCAGGAGATTATAGGCCTTCTGTCTCCCTATTATGCCAAGTAAGCGCAGGGCATCTGAAATAGAAGAGCAGAACACGGGTCAGCTGTGCTCTGCTGATGTAAGCTGTGCTGTGTGGCTCTGTCTGTCACTGGAGGTCTG